TTTCCCTTTGAAGCACGTGACGAGGTCGAACTTCGAGACGATACTGAATGATCTTCGTTCACATGTAAAAGCTGCTGATTTCATTGCGATTGACCTCGAGATGACTGGCGTGACGAGTGCTCCGTGGAGAGATTCATTGGAGTTTGATCGTCACGACGTTCGTTACCTCAAAGTCAAAGACTCCGCCGAGAAATTCGCCGTTGTTCAATTCGGCGTTTGTCCCTTTCGCTGGGATTCTCTCACTCAGTCCTTCGTTTCTCACCCGTTAGTTTCTCTCTTTCTCAATCGTTATGTGTTCTTCTTCACTCGTTATGGATTTTTGACTATATGAGTCTGATTTTGCAGGTTCAATTTCTTTGTGTTTCCTCGTCAAGAGCTCACATTTGATCCACCAGCTCATGAATTTCTCTGCCAAACGACTTCCATGGATTTTCTTGCAAAGTATCAATTTGATTTCAATGCCTGTATACATGAAGGTGCCTCCTTTCTCCTTTTCATTTGATTCTTATGAAATTTGAGTGTAGAAACTGTGAGTTCCAAAATGTGTGTTAGTCCAGAGAAATTCACATATTTGAGTAATCTCAGGAATATCTTATTTATCCAGACGACAAGAGGAAGAGGCAAGTAAGTGTTTGGAAATGATATACGACGAGGAAGGAGTTGATGAAACAGAGGATTTGAAGTTGGTACGATTGGCGGATGTTCTTTTTGCTGAAAGGATGAAGAACAAGTTGAATGAGTGGCGGTCTGCGTTGTTACATGGTGGGAATGCGTCCTCTGAGTCTACGAGGATCTCGAATGGATCGACTCAGAGTACTGAAACTGTGTTTTACCATATGCGTCCAGCTCTCAGTCTGAAGGGTTTCACTTCTCATCAGCTCAGAGTTATTAAATTGGTAATTCTCTATGTTCTGAGATTGATTGATCTCTGTTTTTCATCTTTTCTTCAGACTTTTATAATCTGTTGGCTTTGGATTTGGCTTTGCAGGTTTTAGGAAAGCATTTTGGAGATCTTGTGTTCATGCATGGGAATGATAAAAGTTCTTGTTCACAAGACTTTGTTGTGTACACTGATTCAGAATCCGACAAGGCAAATCTCATGGTAAGGTACCATTTAGGTTACTGGAAAGATCTGTTACATGTCTTTTAGCTCTTTGATGAGAGTGATGAAGTGAATTATTTGATGATAGCAAAGTTCAGACTCTAGAAAGGATCTAGGGATAGTGTAGTAGTCACTGATTCTTCTACTTAATAGCCATCTCATATTATTACTGTGTGTCTTTTCACAGAGGGAGGCAAAGGATGAACGCAAGAGAGTGACGGAAAGGAAAATACAATCTGCAATTGGGTTCCGTCAAGTGATTGATATGCTTTCTTCAGAGCAAAAATTGATCGTTGGTCACAATTGTTTCTTAGGTATGCAAGCAAGTTGCTATGTTATACGTCTATGAAGGTTTTGTAACTTAAAGATGCCTTGCTCTAACCATTGTTTGCTTTATCTGACGCAGATATTGCACATGTATACAGCAAATTTGTTGGTCCTCTTCCTTCAACAGCTGAGAAATTTGTTGCCTCCATCAACAACCACTTTCCTTACATTGTTGACACAAAAATACTCTTAAACGTGAACCCAATGTTACATCAGAGGATGAAGAAGTCCAGTACATCACTATCCTCAGCGTTCTCCTCATTATGTCCACAAATCGAGTTTTCTTCGAGAAAATCTGACTCCTTTCTTCAGCAGCGTGTCGAGATTGAGGTCGAAGTAGACAACGTTAGGTTTGTTCCTCTTCTATTATTGGCATGATATCGAAAAGCTTGAATGTGTACTGCCTTCTGGTTAAAACTGTTTTTAACTGAATTTTTTCTCTGTTTCAGATGTTCTAATTGGAATGCAGGAGGGAAACACGAAGCTGGATATGATGCTTTCATGACAGGTTGCATCTTTGCACAGGCATGTAGTCATCTAGGAATGGACTTCAAAGATCATTCGCAATTAGATCACTTCGCCCTTAACGACAAACTTGAAAAGTACATCAACCGTCTTTATCTCAGCTGGACAAGAGGCGATATCATCGACCTCCGAACAGGTCATAGTAATGCAGACAACTGGCGAGCATCAAAGTTTAAATACGAGAACATCATTCTCATCTGGAACTTCCCACGAAAACTCAAGGCTAGAGAGATCAAAGAATGCATCTGCAAAGCCTTTGGTGCTGCATCTATCATTTCTGTCTACCACGTTGATGAGTCTGCCGTTTTCGTCTTGTTCAAGAACCCGGAACTCGTCTCGGACTTCCTAACACTCAAGCAGCAGCTGGAGTCAGATGACGGTCCTGTCACGATCTTACACCCTCTCTCCAAGATCCTTGAAGGAGGAAACACCGGAGCTGCAGACTACGAAGCATACAAAGAGATTTGCAGCTCACCCATCTCAAAGGTCCTTTTCTCTGACCAAGCTGAAACCGTCGGTGTCAAATCAAGAACACGACCCGACCCACAAGGCGAAACAAGCCCTGAGGCTGAGAGAAGAGAGAAGACAGTCAGTGTGACTGACAAAACATCGGATTTAATCGATGCATTTTTGGCAAATAGAGTTAAAGTCGACTAATTAACGAAGTCTCTTTCTTATCAAAGTCGTTTTAATATAAGAGATTTATGTTGTGTTTTGCGCAGGTAATGTATAATTGAAAAGTAAACACATGAAATCATAATGTTAAGGACTAATCTCAAACAATGGATCGGATAGAGATATCAACTTCAAACAAGTTATCTTCTGCTTCTTCAATTTCTTCTAATATCTCCATGATTGTCATTTGCTCGTAATACTCTTCTTTACTTATCCAACTTTTCTTCACACTCTCCTCCAACTTCTCTTCCTTAGCTTCTCTCACCAGAGAAATCTCTATCAACC